CAAATGCACCATTATTCTATTAATGTAACAAAATCATGGGACTTACAAAAGACATATATATCAAAATAACAGAAAGAAAAAAATTATGAAACTCCTTAAAGAGGGCAATTCAACAAGTACTGTACTTTGAAAAAAATGTAGGTTTGTTCAGCCAGGTGTATATAAAATTTTGTGCAAGATTTGCACTGACAAGACTCAGTTTGTCTATGTTTGCACTTGCACTGCAAATGTAAACAAACTGAGATTATTATTAAAGGAAATCATGTTAATTGGCCACAAAAGTCATCAAAGCATCAGGATAGGAAATTAAAAGCAATATGAACACAATAATACAACAAAAGAGATGAATAGGAATTGGAAAAAGCATAAGTTACTGTCTGTGAGAGAACAGCGAGAAACCATTTGATAGAGTTTTCTTATTAGAAAAGCAAAACTAAAACCAGCATTGACATTAAAATGCAAGAAAACAAGATTACAGTATACTAAAGTGATGCAATTCTAAATTGTAGCAACTGGACAAGTGATAATCAGTGATGAGTCATAAATTTGTATTGGTCATTAAGATGATTCTAAAATTTTGTCTGGCATCATTCTAATGAAATGGTTTAAGAATGTCTACAGTAAAAAATAATTGAGTTAGAAAATTTAGTCAATATGTTACCGCTAAAGCTCAAAAGTCGTTAATGTGTATATTACCTAGGTAATCTGCAGATTAACTTGGGCGATCCGTTAAAGTTGCTAAAATTGTTCTATTTCTCAAATTACCTAGGTAATGTGCAGATTATCTAGGTAATCTGCACATTACCTACTAGGCACTCGGTAAAGTGAAAATAAGATCTTTGCTGGAACAACAGCAACATTTCTGTAAGCTTAAATTAACATAATGTTCTTTATTTAATTTTTGATATCTAAAGAATCAAGTTAATACAATCAAACAATCAACAAATTAGTTGATAGATTCAATCATCAACCAATTAAAAAACATACAAAAAATCAAACGGTTTAAAATATTAATACAATTAGGGAAATTATTATATGAAATTTTGAGACTTTGAGTATCTATCTGAACTGAGGGGATCGAGATGACTTCAACGATACCCTACTTTTGGACCGGAGACGAAAAATAATAAAGTTATCATACTTTTCTGGTGATCGCATGATATAATTGTGCAGTTAACGTTACCTATGGTGAGTAAAATGGCGGCTTGTCCATGATTCCAGCAAACAGAAGAAAGGAAACAGTGGGGACGAACATTCTAACCTAACCTAACCTTTTATAATAAATTACCACAATTATTACCAACCAAATTATTAGAATAGGTTAGGTTAGGTTTGAACGTGCATCCCCACTGTTTCCTTTCTTCTCTTTGCTGGAATCAGAGACGAGCTGCCATTTTACTCACCATAGGTAGCATTATCCAATTGTGCTTGCTTACTAGTGCAGTCTAAAGATTGGTGACACTTTGAATTTCATAGCAATTGGTTTTTGCAACAAGCACACTTATTTGTGGTACATGTATTTGTGGCAAAGATCTTATTTTCACTTTACCGAGTGCCTAGTAGGTAATGTGCAAATTGCCTGGATACTCTGCACATTATCTAGGTAATTTGAGAAATGGAACAATTTTCACAACTTTAATGGATCACCCTAGTTAATCTGCAGATTAGCTAGGTAATGTACACATTAACGACTTTCAAGCTTTAGTGGTAACAAATATAACAATTAAAACAGAACTTTTTCTTTTATTAAACTTGGCTTTAAGACACTGTTTTTAATTTTTAGTATATACTTTATGTTCTTTCCATTTCTCTTTTATTAATGCATTTTATTTAAAATAAATACAACAGATTAACATAGTTTGAAAGTTTAAAATAAACTCCAAATTTATAGTAAATTGACTAAGAAAAACAAGCCCAAATTTCTATTGTATTTATTTAATTTATTTTAAAAATTAATTTAATATAAAATATTTAAACAGGTTAATAACATATTACGTAATAATTATAATATATATATAATATATATTGTTTTTGTTATTGTGTACTCTCATTAACTTATCCTAATCTGAACTCTTAATCTGAAACAATTTTTTCTCCCCATTTTTCCACTAATTCTTTCAGCCAAAAACAAAAGTCAAATTATTTTTTATAAACACAATGAATTTGTAAAATTAATATGACCTACATATTTTAGAATAAACATGTGTACTAAATACAGCATAAATATCTTTTAAATATGCATATATATCTTTAGTTCTTTTCTTCATACAAATTATAATCCCACTTATCCAAACTTTTCTTTAAATAGAAGAATCCCATACTACAATTAGTATGAATTAGCAAGAGTACAATGTATTTGAAAATTTTATTTTTAAACCAATTTCTTAATGTTTGATTCTTGGTTCCAAAAAACTTTCGTAATTCCTGAAGGTTATAAAAGACAAAAATAAAAAAACAGATTTCTGGTTCTATTAAAGTGAATATTAGTTTTCTGTGGTATGTGTAATCTTTATTTAAAAGGTTGCTTACACAAATACTCTATAAAATAGTACATTTATAAATAAAATTTGTTGTTATAGCTTTGAAATTTGAAAATACAGTATTCTGAATTTTACATTCAATGAGTTCAATCCATTCTATATGTAAATGCCTGCAGAAGTTTGGAAAAAATCAACAAAAGATATTTGCAAATTTTAAAATTTAAGCTTTGCTATAACAATTGAATAGCATTAATATGCAACAAGAAAAAAAAAGCTAGTAGTAACTTGTTCTATACATTATATAACAGATTCTATTGTTATTAGTTTCCAAAAAATAATATAATTTTTTTTAGTGTACATAATTATAAGATCTTTTTCATTTTATGAGAGCTAATATAATCTATAAATATATTTTGTTATATTTACCTTTTAATTTTTATAAGAATAAAATGGATTTAAAGTACAGTCAAACCTTGGTTTTCGAACAATTCACTTTTCAAACATTGGTTCACAAACAAACTTTTAAACTCATATTTCCCCAAGTTGCCAAACAAGATATTCAGCAAGAGCCGACCACAGATTTAGTGACATGCAGATAGTCAAACTCCCTATATTTGCCATGTTAAAGAAAGTCAACAGCCTGACCAATCAACAATGGATTTTGATTCAGAAGATGGTGACACCTCACGTCATTAGAAATCACAACACAAATCATCAATGATGTTGCTATTTAAATTAGATTTTAATGCACGTACAGGAAAGATACTACTTCCATTTTTTGGTACATATCACAGTCGAATTTAATTATATTAATTAATAAAAACTGCATTAATTGACATACTCATATATTGTATGTACTGAATAAGAACTGAGGAAAATCAATTGAAAATGATCAAAAACGTTTTTATTTTAGTAAATTTAGTAAATTATTTGCTGGATTGTTAAAGATGTGTTTTTTATCGCATTAATTGACATTCACATAATATACATGGCATTCAAGAATTCGTATTTAAAGGTGCTTAAGATAAATTATTGATAAATAGCAAAAATTTATTATATATAATACAGTATTATATTATATATTACATTGCATTTGTAGGCATTTTTATGCATGAAACAGTTAAAAAAAAAAAAAAAGACTTTATTTTGAGTGTCACGATTGGAAAAATTTGTTTCGATTTTAAAACAACTTTTAGGAACAAATTATGTTTGAAAACAGAAGTTTGGCTATACACACAATTCTAAATAAATTTGCAATAAGAATATCTGAAAACTATTCTTGATACAAACCTCCCAAAAAATTTAGAAAGTAAAACATCTCTAAATTTTTAATACCAAAAAAAAAAAAAAAAAAAAAAAAANAACAATGAATACAGAAAATAAGTTTTCCACACAGACCTAAGGAAATACTACAGCTTAAAAAACCCAAGAAAATATTTGTAATAAAGATTAACTTAAGCTGGTTTAAGAATGATCTGAAGTTATCTTTTATAAAGGTTAATAAGCCTAATAATCAGAGAGATAAAAGAGAAAAGAGACCTTTCCCTTTGGTGCATAAAATTGTTTTTTAGGATGCATTAACATCATAAACATCAAATTTCTACAGCCATCCTACTTAGAACCACCATTCAAGTTTTTCAATAATTCACAGAAAAAAAATGCAAGAGACGACACTTATTCTTGGTAACATTTCATAAGAAGAAAAATGTAATAAAACAGTATTATTTGAATAAACTTTAAATTTATCAAATATTTACCAATAAATCATTTATTGATCCATTTGACCTATATTTTTATAATCTTATACAATATGATTTCAATTCAATTTCATCTGCTCTTAAAAATTTCAGCCAATAGTTTTTGAATAATTTTACCTAGCAAAATCTGAAAATGTTGACAATTTTTAAATAATTCAGATCTTTTTGCCCTTATTTTACTTGTGTGTTATCCACAATCCTACATAAAAATTACAGTTAAAATTAAATATTTATTTTATTCTTTTGTTTTATTTCATTCGATACTTTGTACAGTTCTCTGCTTTTTTTTGGTATTCAAGACAAAAAAAATTCCATTAAAATCCTAGGAAGCTAGCAAGTGATATAAAGGAATAGGTTTTTACAATATGTGGTGTTAGAATCCATGTGGCACTTCTGTTACAATGGTTTTGGTACTCAAGAATGGGATGGAAAGCCTGAAAATACTGAGGATTTTAATGGAATTTTTTATCTTGAAATAAAAAAAGGAGAGAACTGTATGCACTAAGCTGAAAAAATAAATTTACTTAAAAATACAATAAAAACACTTTTTGTTCCTATTGTAGCACAAAAGGATAACATAATAACCAAAAATATATGCAAATATTATACTTTAAATGCTTTTTAAAGTAAAGTGTTTTATTTATTTACTTAAAAACTACTTTATAAATTCAACTGTCTTATTTTTGAGTTGTTTAATAAAATTTTTAAAACATTTCAGTATGTAAAAATAAAAATTTTTTAAAATAAATAAACATTCTTTTACCTGCCATACACTTGCGACGATACCTAAGCTTTTTCTTCTTTATTAACTTAGTAGGTGTGTCATCTTTACTTCGCCCCACTTTGTTTCCATTTGGAGCAGATGCACTATTAAAATGTGAATTTACATGCCTTTCTAAAGCACTTTGAGATGTGAAACGTTGATCACACCTTTCCACAATACATTTGAAAGGTTTATTTCCTCCATGACACAATATATGTCGTTCTAACCAACTTAATGAACATGATGGGCGATTATAAACCTACAAAGAAAAAAAGCAAAAACAAAAACACATCAAATAAAAATTATTATTTTAATTTAATTCCTCATTTTTATCATGATCTTACTAATTTAAAGTACAGTAAATATATTATGCTTATTATGATTCAATTTTTATCTACACAGAGCTGACAACTATATAAGAAACAACAATAATATAAAAAATTTGTTACAAAATGTTCATATCAATGAATTTGTTTCATTCAATCCACAATAGTTACATATCTATTGAAATGAAAATAAATTTGATATAATTTATAAAAATAAATAATAAAATTTTGTAAACCAAAAAAATTTTACAAACATGATAATTAAAATATTGTCATCTAACTGATTTTAGTTACAAAATTAAAAATAAATTATAGCATACAAAAAATAATGAGTGCTACTTTCCTACAAAATATTACTAAATTTTTTCCTAATATCTAGTTAATAATTAAAACGTTCTTCCAGAATTAAATTCCATTAACTCGATATAAAACGAATTAAACTAAAGAATAATTTCCTAACATATACAGTAGAGCATCGATTATCCGACTCAATTGGGGACTCAGGTTGGTCGGATAACTGAAATAATCGAATAACTGAAAAGAATGAAAAAAATACGTTATTACTATAGTATATTAGTATATCGCTATTACCAACTTCGTGTTGAATTTTCATCGATGTTAAACCTAACAAAAATTTTTTTTTAAATAATAATCGTCACTATTGTATCGTTAAAAATTATTTTTAAATTATTTTATTGCTCACAAAACAAACAACCACTCATAATTAGAAAATTAAGTCTCGTTTAAATACTAGCCTCCCTTCAATGGTCCGGCTCGACCATTTGCCAGCTAAAACACGCAAAAATTTAACAAAAATAATATTAAAATAGCCAAGACATAGTCAAATATTGTAGTGCCACATCACTAGCGGACATTTGAAATTTGCTAACTAGAATGGTTGATTAACCGAAGTGACGGTTAATCGGGGGTCGGATAATCAATGCTCTACTGTATATATATGTTAAAAAAATTTTTCTGCTAATTTTAATGCTTTTTTTAAAAAATATTTTTACATTAAAAATAGCTATTCTAAAATCAAATAACATTACGAAGTAATCTATTAAAAACATTAAAAAATACACAGGATTAAAAGATTAAGTAAAAATCATTGAAGAGTCTAAAAATGAATTTACTTAAATTATTCAGATATCATACAATTATTAACAGCACAAGACTGAGTTTCTATACAGATAACAATAAAGCAAATAAAAATGCTGTTTTGTAATCTTTAATTTAAGGCACTTTTAATCTAATAAAATGATACTGATTTTAAATGTATAATAATAAATGTTTAGAAAATATCAATATTTCAGATAGAAATAAAAAATATGCATTGTAACAGTAATGGCAAAGTTGTCAACTCCAGGAGTTTTTGAATGAATATAGGAGAGTTATGATCTGTCACACTTATTCAAACTTTTTAAACAGCTTTAGATTTACCATCTGTACTTCATTTAAAAAAAACTTTCAAAATAATATATTTTCTAGAGAATTTTTTCAATTATACATTTTATATCAATTTGAAGTAGTTAGAAAGTTCATTATTAGACCAAGAAAGTTTGGGTTTACAAAATATTCCAAACAATTCCATTCAGTAGGGCATAAGTTAGAAATAGACAAAAATACTTATTTCAGAGTAAGTCATTATAATTTCATAGTCATATAATTTCAAATTCATCATAATTCATTTAATAATTCATTTCATTAAAATTATTTCAAATTTGATAAAAGTTAGCATCACAATAGTCAAATATCTACTGAAATCATATATCTGAAATAATTAAGATATATATTGATAATATGCTATTTACACTAAAAAATGAAGACATTTATAATCTGTGGGTTTCAATTATTCTTTGATTTTGAAAGGATTAAGGTTAAATTTATATAAAATCATTATCAGCATAACACAATGTAGAATTTTTACAATGTACATTTTTATGCATTTTCAAAACAGATAATTTCAAACTGTAGAACAATTTAAATATATGTGAAATTGATTTCATACTCTCATCAATAAAAGGTTTGGTATTAGGATAATAATATAAAAAAACATCTACTGAAAGAAAGGGATAATTTGATTAATCAAGTATCATACTTCTATAATATTTTATATCATAGTTTAGAATGAAATAATCACTCAAATGATCATTCCACAAAAAATGAAGTATAATCATTCTAAGACTTTACAGAATAAAAATGAGGCATGGTCATTCCATTCATATAATATTTGATAAGAGAATAATGCAGAATCATTCATTATTTTGCTTTCTAAAATATCCTGAAATAAATGAAATTCATAATACTCACACACATTTTTAAATCGAATCTTAAGCATATTTCAATTAGACTCAATTCTGATATTCATTCCAAACACATGGAATAAACATGAAAGATGCATGACAAGTTTAGCTAGTCAAGTAAATGCCAATTCATATTCAATAGAAGTAAACAACATTCCAATCATATATCCCTCACTGACTAAACAGAATATTACATTTGGTATTATTATATGGCTTAAAATGTGCATATCAAATATTAAATTTTTCCTTTTGAAAATAGAGCACTTCCAACCTCCTTATTCTCTTTAATTAAGAACTTCACTTCTATGCAAATGTACTGTACAAAAAAACCTGTTAACATTAAAACTATAATGTCTCAAAAACTGATTCCAATAGAGCTATGTTTTCTTGGAGAAAAATATTATAATTTCATACACTAAGCACTTATTGGCCAAACAAGTGCTAAATCTTCTAAGATATTCTTACAAATCAAGAAAATGCATAGAATGAAGCAGAAATTTTCTTAAGTTTTCATATCATTTCTCACCTATAAGCAGATCTCTAAAATAGAGCATTTTAGGTATGAAAGCATTAAACAGTACATTGACTATAATAGCATTTCAATAAAGTCACATTAATTAATTTTTAATCATAAATAATTTAAATGACTTTATGGCCCTGCTATTTTTTCAAATCTAAACTGAAAAAAAAAAAAATGCAAAACACCCATGTAATTCTTCACTTTACATTAAAGTACTATGTTCAAAAGTTTGAAATCAAAATAACAAATATATTTAAAACATTTAAACTGAAAAGCAATTTAATGGTGAAATGTAGAACAGAACCACTTTAAAACAGTTATTGTATTCATTAGACTGAATGCAGGTTAAATTTATCAGTAGTATTGAACATGAATGGAGTGTTGGAGTTGGGAGTTGAATCTTTTTATGGGGGTTGTAGTCAATTTTAAAAAATACAGATTTGAGAGTCTTGTATTTTTCCCATCCCTGATATTGAAACCTTTCAAACAAGCATTACTAAAGTATAAACAAGATTTAAGAATAAGGAATAATATTCTGTTTTAACTTTTAAGTTTTTTAACAATTATACAAATTCAAAAAAATTTATTTTTCTCATTAAAAAACTTACATTAAACCAAACAATTATGCAATCTACTAATTCTGACAGTAATAAATTTTGAATATCTAATGAGATGCTACTTTTCACCATTAATACAAATGGTTATTTGCATGAAGAAGTTAAAATTACTTGTAAAATTCACAAACTGGTGTAATTATATATAAACAAACAATTTGATAGTTAAGATTTGGTATAATATCTTATTTGAAGTTAAAATTCATGTGATATGTTGAAAAAGGTATTTTTAATGAGATTCTGATTGTGCTTTCATTAGATAAATGTACTGACTTCCTTACATTTAACATACAAGGCTTGTTAATAATCAAAAACAACTCTCTTACTCAAAAGTTGAGTTACAGCATAAGACATTCTTGTCATTCATTACGAGTTAAGACTGTCAAAATATATTTTATGATAAAGATATACAACATCTAATTAAAAACCATTCTAATGTTGATAACATGTCTTTATATTATAAAAGTTCAACTGGTGCAACTGCTAATAAAGATTATTTTCTTGTCTGGTACTCACAAGTCAGACAAGAAAATAATCTTATAGGTGTGGCAATGTTCCTGCAAATGATTCATAACATGTATACAAAGTAGACAATGTTAATTATATAACCTCTTGACTTCAAGTCCTTCTCAAAGAAAAGAAAAAAAAAATATATTAAAATTTTTAAAATTCAGTCATTAATAAATAATAAAAAAAACCATTCAAAAAAATTAAAATATAACTGTTTAAAGCATTTAATTTTTTGATGAAAATGTTTCAAAACTGACAAAAAATAAGCACTAGTTTCAAACAGTTCTTTCTTTGTACTCAATTGAAAGAGCTATTATACATCTTTATGATGGTTTTTCATCTTTTTTAGAATTTTTTTGGTCAAGACAGGAACTTTATAATATTTGCTTACTGGTCTTTTATGATGATATAATAAAACCAGCTTATATTTTACTTTTCATCTTAATCTAAAACTACTAAAAACAATTTCATTTAGAGTATAAAATTAAAGCTAACTTGTAAGATAATAATATTCAAATAATTAAAAAATATATCTTCATTGGTCACAAACATTGGAAATCTTAAATTTAAATTCAATATAAAAAGCTAAGTATTAGGATTTGCAATATTTTATAGATTTACTTATTCACTTTTTCTGTAAATATGAAATAATAAATGATGATATTGATAATGATGATGCTATTTGAATATTTGTTCTGTTGCTGCATTCTAGGGAAGTTAATATCTTAAAATGTTTCATTTATATTTAATCTATATTATGCTATTTTCTGCATTCTTTTATAACTGTTTTGAACATTTGAAGGAGATCCGTAACAAGATCAAAAATGTTAGTGGTAGTAAATTTCAGGATTGTGCCATCCGATTTCCAGATTTACAGTCCGTCAGAAAGAACACCATGCAACTCATTTATCTCAAATCAAGTCTATTTATTTTACAACTATTTACAGTATATACAGCAATACTTCTGCATACCAGAAACATCCAGC